TACTTGTATGTTTCTTTCCTTGTTATTTGTGGAGTGCAGCAAACGTGCCGTCGTCTTCAACTCAATCGCAACTCTAGCCAGTCTTCATTACACCGGATTTCAGGGTGAGCTAATGCTTTTAGCTTGGACTGGATCTTCTTCTTCATGTCTCGATGCCTTGAAGTTCCGGCATGGACTAGCTTTTTATTTATTCTAGCTTTCTAGATACCCTTAGCTTTAGTAATTTGAGGATAGATGTTCTTGTGATGAAGACTTCCAGATTTTGGGGATAATAATAGTTGATTTTTTAGAAGTTATTGAATTGGTTTTTATTAATGAGTTTAAGTCTTCCGCATTACTTTCTGTTGATATTATATTGAAATGTTAAGGTTTAGATTGGTTGGTTCGCTCACATAGGAGGGTAAGTGTGGGTGCCAGTTGCGGCCCTATTTGGGTCGTGACAACCTCCATGAGATAAATGATTATACCAACCACTTGACTATGTGTTCACCAGACCACCCTTTAATAGGCTTCTCCTCCACCCCCGATGAAAGTTGAGAAGAGAGAAAGGTAAAGAGTTTTTGGAAAAGGAAGATGACAACAAACTAAAAGGAAATGACAACTATGAATCTATTTTTTTTAAAAAAAATAAGAAGTAAAAAATAGACCTTTTATTTTCTTTACTTAAAAAGGGTAAATTTTGTACTTTTTCTTAAGAGTAAAAACGAAATAAATATAAAAAAAAAAGCGAAATGTTTAAGCCTGGGATTAAACACGGGCTGAGTTTTGCCTTTTCTAAGAGAAGAAAATGGAATTATAAAAAAATTTCAAATTTCAAAAAATTGTCACAGTGGGGCTCAAACTCGAGACTTAAAGGTATTTTTAAACAGCCTTAACCACTAGGCTACCAACTTTTATTGTGTCAAGGTTGTTCAACTGTTAATATATGTCTAAAAAAATTGATATTTAGTATATATATTCGGAAAAAAAATTTCCGATGAAGGTTGGTCAGATCATAGCTCTGCCCCTGATGATTTTATTCTTAATCTTATTTTTTAAGGTAACTAACTTGTTTTATTAATTACCAGTAAAAATATTACTTTCTTCGTTTCTATTTATATGTCATCATTTTGGATTTTACATACATTAAGAAATGAAAAAATTGTGGAGAATGACAAACAAAGGAAGGTAAATAAATCAAATAAACCCCCTTTCAATTATTTTCTTTAAAGGACAAATTCTCCGTAAGTTTGCTATGCCAGGTCCCACCATTTTGTATAAAAGAAGATCCCCAAAACAAAATCCTCTTTTTTCCTCTTTCTGCGCTTTTTATACAATTTCTTCTTCTAGAAAAAATTTCTCCACAATTTTTTCCATAATTGCAATTTCAAACTACCAGTTTCTTCTATCACGCACGTCATTGCATTTTTTCAAACTATTTCAAAAATTTCAGAGTACTACCTAAAACTCATCTCACATTATCAATTTTTGTTCATTTTTTTTTGAATTTCTTAATACTACCTTTTCACTTCACTTGTTAATTCCTTCAGAATTTTGGTTCAATCAATGGATGCCCTCTCCATAGAAAAGATTCACAAGAGGTATACCATTGCATGTTGAAATTGATGTTGAACACCCATCATTTTCATTGGGTCTAACTCAGGAATTTGGGGAGATTTCAGGTTTGTTATCTAAATCTACTATCATTCAAGAGATTAGATCCAAATTCAATAATGACCCAAGTAGATTTGTTGAGGGAGGTGTGAAGAATCCTGACGATGTTGTTACTGGGTCAAGTAAGAAAAGGAAACATAAAGCTGATATTTATACCGTTCATAATGATAAAAATGAAGCTGTTGGTTCTGGGTCAATCGAGCATCATAAGGTATCTGTATAATCATTGTTCATGTATATATTTAGATTTTATATTATATGTTTTGTTTTTGTGTTGATTCATGTCTTATACAACTGTAATTGCATAAATGTATAATCTATATTAGTATATGTTTTTGTGTTTCTGTTGATTCATGCCTTATATAATACTGTTTGTATAAAATGTATAATAAATTTTTGTATATGTTTATGTGCTTATACAATTGTAGTTGTATAAATGTATAATCTATATTAGTATATGTTTTTGTGTTTCTGTTGATTCATGCCTTATACAATACTATTTGTATAAATGTATAATAAATTCTTGTATTTGTTTCTGTACTTATACAATTGTTCTTGTATAAATGTATAATATCTTAATATCTGCTTTATATTCATATCTTATACTGCCTAATTTATTGTCTCATTATACAATTGTGTGTATAAGTGTATAATTTATCTACTTCAATAGCTTGATCAATTTTTTGAATTGTCTATAATGGAGCTATTACGAGCGAAGGAGAAGAAGAGAGAATGAAACTAAAACTGAGTTCGCGTGAATTATGGGATCTTTTTCTTATTTATCTGCCGCCTATTTTTTAAAAAAAATTGAACTGTATAAAAGGAAGATATTTGTTAACTATTATACACAAAAAGTCACCCGTAGCAAACTTTTAATTTGCTACAGAACGCAATTTTGAATAATTTGCTATAGCCTACAATTATCAATTTTTTGTTTGCTATATATAAAATTTGCCCTTAAGAAATTAAGTAAATTTCCTATTCTATCCTTATTTAATTTTTTTGGAACTCAAGTTTTCAATTATTGAATTTGAATACTCAATTTATTTTGATTAATTGATTTATTTAAGGAAAAATTACATGAATTGGTATATTTTAATAAATAATTACTGATTTTAGCGATACTTTTTATTTATTACCATTTATAGCAATACTATGTTAAATCTGCAATATGTATTAAAAGTGAATTATATATGTAATATGTATGAATTATAATTGTTTTTTGAAATATATTATGTTTGTTTGGTAAAAATTTGACACATTGTATTATAAGTGTATTAAAATGTGCAATAAATGTATTATCCATCATTAAAACTTGTACTATATGTGAATAATAAATTGTTCTTTGTAATATGTATAAAATTTATATTATAAATAAATTAAAAGTGATCAAGTGAAAAAAAAATTATTGCTATAAATGCTAAAAAAAAATTTACTATAGCATATTTAGGCAAGTTTCCCATTATTTAACCAATGAACATGAATTATTTACTTAAACTTTTTAAGCTGCTCAAATGAATATTTTCAAGGTGAATAACTTACAAGAATAAAAAAAGGAATGAATATGATAATTGATGTATTGACTTTATGAACGGACAAATATTATGAACCAATTTATAGTAAAAAAATTACATATAAAAAGGAACATGGGGAGTACAAAATAGTTGTCCAACCCAATCAGTGGCGTAGTCATGAATTTTATGAAGGGTGTCCAAAAATATCATAGCTCGTAATATAATTTAAAGACTATGTGTACTTAAATTTTGTAAATCAAACTACATAACATTAGTGATTAATTTTTTAAATTTTAAATATACCAAAATTTTTAAATCAAACTACATAATATTTAGCTTTAATGTTTACGTTTATCTGATAGGAAATGAAACAACAAAGAAAAGGAGAGATATTTCAATTTAGAGTGAAATCACTTTTATGTTTCAAGTTTTCATAAACCTCTAATGACCAACAACGAAAAATGAAAAATAAAGAATAGAATCAAACGAGTTATATTAAAAACGAATATTTATAAACTATTTTCACTTTTAGTAATTTTATGGAACAAATAAATAGGATTTGCTTATTAACTTTAAATTAAATAATTATTTTTAAATTTTATTTAAATTTTTAATAAAAAGAAAAAATCAAAGTCAATTAACGAGAATCGAACCCGCACACTACAAGTTGCAAAGAACATAGTAAGAGTTGAACGACTGAAATCACTAAGCTAGAAAAATTAATTATTTTTTTAAAATGTCCAAAATATGTTATTTAATCATATAATTATTTTACTTATGAACACAGTGTAATTTTTTTGATAAAGGATGTCCAATTGAATACGATAACCAAAGGATAGCTACGCCCCTGAACCCAATCACATTGAAAGTTATAAAGGATGCCAAAAAGTAGAAGAATTTGCACTAGACTAGAGTAATGTAGAGAAGTTTTGTGGACCTTATAATGCGTGTGAATATGATAATGTCAAAAGTGATATGATTTAGGAGTTGGACCTCATTTTAATCACTTCTTGACACTCTGTTTGGTTGGTATCATGGAAATCAGATCATCCAAACCACTTGAAGACTCTAGGAATAATAGTTAAGACACAATGGGTGTATATTTTGTAATTTGCGATATAATAACAATAATAATAATATCATTTTCAGTATACAAATTTTATCGTGATGAGATGATTCTGATAGCATATATCAAAAGATCAAAGTTAGCTCATGATATTTAATGCTGTGAATTCTATATTTTATTTTTATTTTCTATTTTCATGGTTAATCATTTGCTTAGCAAGAGAGTCAAAAATTAATGGTCCATCGAGAAGTTACTAAAAAAAGGATAACTAACATTCATACATTATTATGCCTTAAGTTTACTCACTCAATTATTCATCAAGAGAAGTTGAAATACATAAATAGATGCATAACTTATATTATCCGCTCGTGATGATCATTTACAAGGCGGCAACGGAGCACCACACAAGCATTTGTTATGAAAATACTCATATATCTCAAATTTCTGCATATTCTCACCCTTTGGAATCTTTCCACAAAGTCTATTATAACTCACGTTCAAAATTTGCCACGGATTCTTCGATATGATTTTCGGTATACTCCCATAAATCTTGTTATGACTCAATTCCAACCTCCATAACCCCTTCCCAAACGTCAATTTTGACATATCGAATTCAAATTTATTCCGATCCAATAACATTTCATACGTCGTCTTATCTTTACCAAACAAAAACGAAATATCCCCTTCAAGCATGTTCCTTGACAGATCAATTGTGTCAAAACTCCACCCAGCAAATGAAGTTGGTACAATCCCTGTAAGTTGGTTATGCCCAAGGTAAAGATACGTTAAATTGGGAGCTAATTTGCCAAATGACTCCGGTATTGGTCCAGTTAATTTGTTCCTATCTAATCGTAAAAATTCCAAATATGGAAGTTGTGATAGCGAGGCTGGGATAGTTCCAACAAGCTTATTATACGACAGATTAATGTACGTTAAGCTTTTCAATCGACTAAGGACTTCAGGTACTGGTCCTGAAATGTCCGATTCACTAATTCTGAAGAAAATGAGATTCGTGAGCTTAACAATTGTTGATGGAATTGGACCGGTGAGATTACGTACATTGTGGATACTGAATTTCGTAAGGTATGTGAGATCTCCGATGGCGGGAGAGAGATATCCAGAGAGATTCATTTTGGAGAAGTCGATGAGATTAATCCGATTCGATTTTTCATCGCATTCGAGAGTAGGTCCGTACCAGTCAATGCAGCAATCAGTTTTGGGATTCCAATTACCCAAATCATCAGGATTACCTAGAGCTTTTTTGAATTCTAGGAGGGCTTTTTTGTCATTTGGGTGACATCTTTCAGCTGAAAGAGATGGAGAGATTTGAGAGAGAAAGAAGAGGGAAAAAGAGAGAATGGAAACTATAGAGGAGGGCTTCATTTTTCTTTGTGTGTGATTGTGTTTGGTCCTAGTATTTATAGGATGATATTTTTCCAAAGTATTTTGAAATATTCTTCGGTGTAAATGGATCGATCTAAGTCACAATCTATTTTTTATTATTTCTTTAGTAGATCGTAGGTGAGATTAAGGGCGAATTTATGTTGTTTTTAGGGGATTTAATGATCAAAATTATACGGTATATATAAAGCAAAAAAATTATTTTTAAAAAACATGCTAAAAGTGTGGTTTTAAACTCGAAAAAATTCAAGGTTTCTATTTCTAAAGGCTTATTTACATGTTTATACTTTTATTTTTCGAACTCTCTGAACGAAAATTCTAAATTCGTCACTGTGTAAGACACTTTTTTATCGGGGAGGGAATGTAAGGTAAGACTGTTTCTATAGTCTTGGACAGAAGAGAGGGGGACCAAGATGGAGTTTTTTCTTGCTTTTCATCATTTATTTTTTTTGGGTTTTCCATCCGCTTTTTCTTGCTTTTCATCATTTCTTTTTTTTGATTTCCCACCTGGAGCTCCGACTAAATTCAGATCGCGCACTGTATGGCCTATTCAGGGGTGGCGATCCAAAAAAGATTTTCTTCATACCCAGTGCTCGAACATGAAACCTCTAGTTGAGGGTGAAACACACTTTTTATCATTTAAAGAAAACTTATTTGAGAAGAGAATTTTCTTTTGTACAATTTGGAGTGAGTTTATAGGTAAAATATGTGAAATAATTTATTTTTCATGAGTTAATTTTTATAATATTTCAAACTAAATTGACTTAGATGAGTTTAAGGTTCTAAAAGTTTAAAATTTAGCTATTAAAAAAATTATGCAAAAATATTTTATAATTAAAAAAGGTTTTGCACTAATATAATAAAAAGTAATATTAATCAAAGTTTAACGTAATTTTAATTTATTTAAAGTGTCAAAAAAAACTAGGAGAAGGGGTAGCAATTTATAACATACGGGAGAAAATCCGATTAGAAATGCTATCTCCTAATAAATTCTTCAAAATGTGTAATTCGATTATTATTGGATTTCCAATATAATTTTCGAACACACAAAAATTTATATTTTATTTATAGAACGGTGTTTTAAAAATTGAGCTGTCAAACACGAAAAAAATGAGTTAATTTGAGTGTACTCGAAGATAAGATTTAGACTTAGTCAACTTACTGTGGATATGAGTGGACATAAAGCTCTTGGGTCTTATTTGTTCATACATTATTTTAAAATTTTGGGCCGATTTTCTTGGGAACAATGCTAAAGAATATTTTTAAAAGAATAAAAATGTCATTTACATATAGTTTGGCTAAAAAATATTTTTATCATCAATATTTTCAGATGTGTTTAAAAAGAAAAATATTAATATACTTACTCGTAATCTTTCCTTTTGTGGAGGGGCATTTTTTATTCAATTTGTAAACGGAGAACATTTTTATTCTTTTCATATAGATTAAGATATATTTGACCTTTTTCCTTTTTTTTTATATGTAAACTGGTACCACTTAAATTGGATTGGAGGTGTATTAATTAACCATTGTTTTTTAATTTAATCAATTATGAATCTTTTTAGTGTAAAATATCATATAAAATAATATTGGGTTCAGTTTAGAATATTAATATAAAAAATGATCCCCATATAATTATGTTCATAATTTTACTGTACTTCATTTGATCTTCTACTAACCTATAGATTATAAATGATAAAAACTTCATTTATACAAAATTAAACATAACACTTAAGCCCACATAGAATGGAGAAAAAGTATGTGTTTAAATATCAACCCCCAATAAGTATTCTTCTATTATAGGAGTACTAGGTAACTATTTTTATTTTTAGTTATTTTTATTTGGCTCTATGTTGATAGAGTAAGTATTTCTTTTATTATATACTAGGTAACTTTTTCATTTTTAGTTGTATTTATTGGCTCTATCTTGATAGAGTATATTTTATTTTAAAATGATGTATATTCTACCTTGATTTTTTATAGTTTAATAATTTTATGTATGGTTTAAGCTCCTACACTTTGTTTTTCTATTTATTTCGTATTTGTTGTTTTAGAGGTCATTTGTGATAGCAATTTTTAGAAGAAAATTAAACATGTAATAGTAGTTTGGACTATGATAAGTGTACGTAACCCTAAATATAAATAATATGTCTATTCGTAATACTAATATTAATATAGTGCGTCTCTTTTTCGACAGAAACATATACAAATGAATACCTAAACAAATAATGGTGGCGTTAACAAAACAATTAATTAGTATTGAATTTTTACTATAATTTCTATGCCAAATTCTTTTAATCATTCATGTTTTATGTCTTTCTCGAGGAGTCCGGAGTCTAAAAGGTATAAAATGTTAATAAAAATTTTAAAACGGTATATGAATATTTATTTTAGCCAGAAGGGCAAAATCGCTGGAAGGGCAGCGATTTCGCTCACCGAAAAAAGTAAAATCGCTGCCTTAGCAGTGATTTTCAAAACAAATTTTTGTTAATGAATTTTTAATAAATCGCTACCTAATTAGCGATTTCTTTATTTTTTAAATTATTTATTTAAAAGAAAAAAACAAACTACGAGTAAATCGCTGCAAGGGCATCGATTTGTCTTCAAATTGTTTTTTTCAATCAATTTTTTTAATTTTTTTTTACAATTTTTAAAAATTAAATTTTAAATTTTTTAAAGAAATTTTAATTTTAAAATTTTCTACTACTTATTCCAAAATATTTTTTTTAATGATTTTTTAAAATAAGTATCAATCAATTTTTTTCTAAAAAATTGACTTAAAAAAATATATAAAAAAAATTGGAGACAAAAATCGCTGTCCTTGCAGCGATTTGCTCCTATTTTTTTTTAAAAAAATTCAAATAAAAATTAAGGAAATCGTTGTTTATGCAGCGATTTCTTTTTATCAAATTTTTTTGACGACAGAAATCACTCCTCTTCTAGCGATTTTGTCCTTTTGGTTAAAATAAAAATCATATATCGTTTTAAAATTTTTGTTAACATTTTATATCCTTTAGGCTCCGGACACCTTTTTCATGATTATAATTAATACATGATGAACAATTAATCGAGATAGAATATAATTTTTCATATACGTGATTAATACATTTTGCCCATCAATTCATTTGAAACTTTTGGGATGGTAATTTTACTGCACAATTATATTTGTCATAGAATATATCTTATTTTCTTCATTGATTTATTTCAAAATCTCTAAAAAAATTATATCAAATTACTAAATATTTATCGTCAAAATGTATCTTTATTGATAGATTAAAGAAGCTGACACAAATATTGCAAGTGAAAAAATAGAGAATTGTGGGCATGAACGAGGAAGAAAAGTATTTCAGTTTTGAAATAACAAATAGAGATAAAGTAGAAGAGGAAGTAGCAACAACAAAAATACGAAAATGATAAATATATCTCCGAACTATTATAAATGGTATGTAGATACCATATATAGTTTTGGGATATTCGTATTCATGTCATCCATAAACTAGAGCATATATGCTCTTTACTCTAATAGAAGACTAAATAGAGACATGTAGCGCAATCTTATTCGTCGATAAATATCGAATTATGAATGAGATTATAACATGAGTGTATATCCGTTAGTATAAAGGATATATATATATATACTCTAATTTTTAAATAATAGGAGCACTAATATTCTAAAATATGACAAAAAATATTTATATATCACTTACTATAATTCGATAATAGATTCACTGACATAAAATAAAAAAATTACACTCTATAAAAGAATCAACTAGCAGAACAATTAATGATAGGATAATATACAAAGAGATAGAAATATAATGATATTGGGAAAAAATAAATACTAAAAATCACAACTTGCAATCTCATTTTTCATCCTTTAAATTTCAACATTATTTTCATATTTTCTTTTATTTGAATGCAATATAATTTGTTAAACATAAGATTTCTTATCATTTATTAATGGACCAATAAGCATAGAGTATTGCTTTATACTCTATAAAGTACATGTTCAATCTATTATTTATGGAACAAATAATTATATCATACGATAACTATAATTAAATTAACATATTTGAAACAATCAATCAATATGTATATATAAATGAGGATCTTCAATCAGCCTATGTGGCATGCCTCAATGATGAGAAAAATATATTTTTTTATTTTTTTTAAAAAGGGCATTTTAGATTATTTCTTTTTACACAATACTATTATATTTATATATATTGCTATTAATAAATTAGTTAATGAGCATTACACCTCCTAACTCCTAACCTTTCATATTCATAACCTTCAAAATACTT